TTCTCTTGCTAGTCTTCCTGGCCACAGAATGCTTTCCTAGATAGAGCATCAGCAGCAGTGTTGTTACTGCCCTTCTTATACTGTATCTCATAGTCCAGGCCCAACAGTTCAGTCAACCACTTGTGCTGCAGAGGTGTAGCTAACTTTTGTTCTAACAAATACTTCAGTGACTAGTGATCAGTCTTAATGATGAAATGGTGTCCCACTAAATAATGCTTCCATTTGGTCACGGCTAACACCAAGACCATTAACTCCTTCTCATAGACAGATAGACCCAAATTCCTTGTTGATAGAGCCCTACTAAGGTATGCTATGGGATGAGAGTCCTGCTGCAACATTGCACCTATGCCTCCATTACTGGCATCTGTCTCAATCACAAATGGCCTCCCAAAATCTGGTAGCCTGAGAACTGGTGAAGTACACATGATCTGCTTAAGTTTCTTAAAGGCAGCATCTGCTTGTTCATTCCAGCAGAAGCTATCCTTCTTGACTAGATCTGTCAATGGCCTACAAGTGATACCATACTGTTTGATGAATCGCCTATAGTAGCCCGTAAGGCCTAGGAAACCCCTTAATGCCTTAACTGAGTTGGGGGTAGGCCAATCTAATACATCTTTGATCTTTCCTTCTTCCATACTCACCCCCTCTGATGAAATCATATGTCCAAGATATTCAATCCTCTGCTGAGCAAATGAGCATTTAGACAGCTTAGCATACAGCTGATTCTTTCTCAGTACCTTCAATACCACCTCCAAATGTTTCACATGCTGATCCAGATCTTTGCTGTAGACCAGTATGTCATCGAAAAATATTAACACAAACTTGCGCAGATAGGGCTGAAAAACCTGATTCATTAATGCCTGGAAGGTGGCTAGAGCATTTGTCAGCCCAAAAGGCATGACTAGAAATTCATAATGCCCCTCATGAGTTTGAAAGGCAGTCTTGTGCACATCTTGGACTTTAACTCTAACCTGATGATACCCTGCCCTCAGGTCTATTTTGGAATGGTATTTGGATCCACATAACTCAGCTATCAACTCCTCAATATTAGGGATGGGATACTTGTCCTTAATAGTCAATTTATTCAGGTGCCTATAATCAACACAAAAACGCCAGGTGCCATCTTTCTTTTTGACCATCAACACAGGTGAAGCATAAGGGCTATTACTATGCTTAATGATTCCACTGTCTAGCATTTCCCTAACTTGCCTTTCTATCTCAGTTTTTTGTGAATGAGGGTACCTATAAGGCTTGATTTTGAAGGCCTGAGCATCTGACTTGAGGGGTATGTCATGATCCAGACTCCTCTCTGGTGGTAAGCCTGTAAGTGCTGCAAACACATCCTTGTACTTGTCCAACAGCTCCTTGACTTCAATAGGTGTCTCAGCCTCTGGATTTTTTCCATGAATTCCCTGAGATATACTATAACAGCTATGTTTGTAATTAATAAAGTCCCTCAGGTCCTTGTTTCTCAGCAGATTGAGCTTAGCTTCCGCCACACATCCCTGTAGGATGATTTCTTCCGCTTCACTATGAATAGCTATATTTAGCTTGTGGAAGTCAAATGTGATGGGGCTATAATGAGCCATCCAATCCACTCCTAAAATCAGATCCCATCCTCCTAGCTCCATGATCCTCATGTCAAAACAGAACTTATGATTATTAGTGGACCAAAGCACCTTAGGACTCTTAGTGCATCCTGATACCATTGAGCCGTCCCCAATGACTACTGTGTAAGGGGTGGTGACCACATATGGCAATTCTAGAGCTTTAACCAGGTGGTGGCTAATGTAGGTGTTTGAACTACCTGTGTCCACCAGAATGTGTATGGAAACTCCCTTGATCTCTCCCCTGAGAGTGATTGTTTTCCTCTTCAGTGCCTCAGAAAGTGCATGGAGCGATACCTCCATCAATTCTCCAGGGTTGCCCGTCTTTTCATCTTGCTCCCCTACAGCATCCAAGAATTCTCCTTCATCTTCCTCCCCGACTACCATCATGTTCAGTTGTCTGTTCTTGCACTGGTGTCCTACTCCAAAACGTTCACCACACTTGAAGCACAGTCCATTATTCCTTCTAAATTGTATTTCCTGTGGCGATATTTCCCTGATTGGTGTAACTGAACTAGTCTCACCTTTGATTACATTAGTCGGTGGAATTTTATAGGCATTTGGAACAGCTGCAGTACCTTTATATAAGCCAAACTTAGGATCAACAGGTGACTTTGTTAATTGTTTAGCAGATTTCTGCTGCAACCTCCAGGGTTCTTCCTACAATCTGGCTAAATCCATAGCATCTGACACCTTGTTTGGTTTCAACATTTTCACCATAGTCTTAATTTCATCTTGCAATCCACTGATGAAGCTTGAAACGAAATATGATTCGGATAGGTGAGGGTTTTTTACTAGCATCAACGATTTTAATTCCTCAAACCTTTCCTGGTAGTCCTCTACTGTTCCTACTTGCTGCAGCTTATTGAAATCTTCTACTACATCCCGAGCTCCTTTTTCTGCGAATCTCTCACTGAGCAATTCAGTGAATTGTTGCCAAGATAACTCTGGAAATTCCATCTTGATGCCTTGGTACCATACATCCGCCTTATTGTCCAAAAACATCTCAACTACTTCCATTTGCTGGTCTGGAGGAATTTGGTAGGTGAGGAAATATTTCTGGCATTTACGAAGCCAAGTGCGTGGATTCTCTCCAGTGAAAAGGGGTAACTCAATCTTTGGGGGATTTGGTAAGAATACCTTGGAAGGCTTGGCTCTGGAGCACTGATTAACACCAAGCTCAGACTGGAGCTTCGTGTGTGCTGGGGGTGTTGATAGAATTGGAGTTTTTTCTGGCTGTATTGTCTCATCTCTTTCCGATTGCTTCTCTCTGGCCATAATTTAGATCAATGTGTTGAGCTTCTGGTCCATGCCTGAGATCAATGCTCTTATTTCCTGGTCAGAATTCTCCATCTCTCCCCGCAATTGTTGCTGGACTTCTTGTTGATTCTGTTGGAGAGAGAGAATTGCTTGCAGAGCTTCCTGCAATCGTATTTCCTGTGTCTTCATTTGATCTTCCATATTCTTGAATCGTGTGCCTTCCGCCATTGTTAATAGTTGCAATCAGTCCGAGGATCGTTGCTCTGGTACCAATTGTCAGGAATTCAAGCAGGATTCCTGAGATAGAGCTGCGATGCAGCTCCAGAAATGAAGAACAAGGGGGAGAAAGATGGGAGAGAAAGGAGAGGAGAGGGAGAGTGATGACTTGAGGAAAGAAGAATCAATTCTGTTATTTCCCTTCATGCCTCTGCAATTGCAAAGAGCTCATTATATAGGAATGAGCTACACGATCACTAACCGACTTAACAAACTAACATGCTGACGTCATTTGACTCAGCACCTTAACTACCAATAACAGAAACTGTTATTATATATTATTATTTACAATTAAGCCCCCCAAGTCCTGACAATCTGGAAAAGCCACAAGCAAATAACAAGCGGTCTTGGGACTCATCTGCCAGGACACATTGGACACACCTGGAAGAGACACATTCGTCATACCCCATTTCTGCAGTCTATCCTTAATCGATAACTTCCTTTTCAACTTTAACCAGATAATAAAAGCATATTTTGTCAGACTCCCTTCACCCCCATAGGAATATGCCCAAGGCATGTGTCATTTCCTTTCTTCTCCTATTGCTGCCGTGGGACTTGGGGCTTCTCGTTTCGTTTGTACCCAGATCATCATCGGAGAAGTTGACATGATTGATAGCAAATACATTTCTCACAATGTTAGAAAATTTATCCAGGGGATATATCTTTGGACACTTGAGGCTCATTTAAAATTTTAAGTAGTGCTTCTTTATGTAATTCAGAAATTAAAATCAGGTTTAGGAAAGAAATCTGAGCTACAGATAGTCGAGGACAAACACCGCATAACCACCCAAAGTCATAACATCCACTTTTTTGAGCACCCTTTGGATTTGGTATGTAATGTCCCCACATCAATTGTTTTTGAGCCATTAAACTATCTATACTTGTGCTAACCAACTATTAGTAACTATTTAGTAAAGAAAACACACATCTGTTTAAATCTAAAGGACCAAGCCTGACTTTGCTGTTAAATTCTTTTTCTTTTTTTTTTTAAAAAATTTTTTTTTCTCTCAGCATAAATAAAAATTATATAAATAGACATAATGGTGTCCTTTCAATCAGTATGTAGTGTCTCTCCTTTTTTCAAAAAGCTAAGGAAGATATTGAACCCGTTTGGGGCAGGTAGGATTAAGCATTTAGTAGTATTACATATTTATTGTATATTTTACACGATATGGTTTATATAACATTATTTTGTTGTTTGTCTGAATTTTGTTCATGTATATCAAATGAACATACGAATACAACTATATTTATAAGCATACATTAACTATTATAATAAATATAGCAACCATGTCAATTGTACCAAAAAACTGGTCATACCTGCCCCAATCTCTTATTGAGTGTTGGATTTAAGGCCAGTGCGACTGTGGTTGGATTCCGTTTCCTACTATTCTTGTAGTTGTCATAGCCTATAAAAACACGATCTTGTCCTTTAAATAAAAATTGGTGCACATGGGTTAAATATTCATTGTGATTATGTACTATCTTCAATATATAAAGCATGAGGAGAGGGTTAGATGTCAAAATTTTGTGTCATTTTTTGGCTTTTCAATTTTATCCATACAAAAGTAAAGATTTACTAAAGATAACTACTTAAGTTTAGTAACTTCTAATAACTTCCACTTCCAATAATTTCTATTTTTTGTTTGTTTGCCAAAAAAAACTTCAAACTTCTAATAACTTCCATTAATTTCAATAAAAACAATATAATTTTTTCTTCATTTGCGCACCCACAGGTGTGCTTTTCCCTCTAGTGCCCTATAATGAATACGTCACCGCAGTGACATCTGCTGTACGGGACAACTCCCATAAATACTACTCCTACTGCCCTATGTCTAAACACTGAAGGAACTACAGCACAAGATAGTGATTTCAACAGGCTACAATCTTAGAATTAGCTTAAAAAGGATTTGGCAATTGACACACTAGTCTTAGCCATCAAACCATGTCATTCAAACTAATAGCAGCAATCGTAGCCCATTTTCTAGTTCACATCTCAGCTGGTGCAGCAGCTTCTGACGACGTTGGGTTCATCTATCAAGGATTTCAATCATCAAATCTAAGCCTGGATGGATTAGCCAAAATCACCAACAATGGCCTCCTACAAGTAACAAATACCACCATATCACAAACGGGGCATGCCTTCTATCCTAATCGCATCAATTTCAAGAGCACGTCTAACGGTTCAGCTTTCTCCTTTTCCACCCAATTTGTGTTTGCTATGGTACCTGAACTCGCAGGCGTGACCGGTCCGGGAATGGCTTTCGTGATTGCACCAACAAGAGGCCTTCCAGGAGGGCGTTCCGTACAGTTCCTCGGCCTCTTCAATAGTAGCACCATTGGAAATCAAACAAATCACATTTTTGCAGTGGAGCTTGACACTTTCCAAAACGAAGAATTTGGAGATATCGATGGCAACCATGTTGGTATTGATATTAACTCTTTGAGATCTAATGTATCTCGGCCAGCAAGTTACCAAGCTATTAATAAGATTTCATTTGACAACTTAACTCTTTTCAGTGGCCAACTGATGCAACTTTGGGTGGAATACGATGGGGCAGATGGGAGAATCAATGTTACATTAGCTCCAATAGCAGATGCTAAACCAAAAACTCCTCTTCTGTCTTTGTCATGTGATCTTTCAACAATTTTACAGCAAACCATGTATGTTGGCTTTTCTGCATCCACTGGTCCGATTGGGACATCTCTTTTTGTACTGGGATGGAGCTTCAAGGTGAATGGTGATGCACAAGCACTTGATCTCTCTCGGCTCCCTAAGCTACCTCGGTTTGGACCTAAGAAGGTGTCTAAACTTTTCACGGTGGGATTGCCCCTAATTTGCACACTTTTGTTGTTGACGGTAATTTTCGGATTAGCATATTATTTACGCAGGAAATGGAAGTTTGCAGAAGTGCTGGAAGATTGGGAGCTTGCCTACGGACCTCACAGGTTCAAGTATAAAGATTTATACATTGCTACAAAGGGGTTTAGAGAAACAGAGCTGCTAGGGGAAGGTGGGTTTGGCAGGGTCTACAAAGGCGTTTTGCCAACTAACAAGGTTGAGGTTGCTGTCAAGAAGGTCTCTCATCAAGCAAGACAGGGAATGAGAGAATTTGTAGCAGAAATCGTCAGTATTGGTCGCTTACGCCACAGAAATTTAGTATCGCTCTTGGGTTATTGCCGGCGTAAAAGAGAGTTACTTTTGGTATATGAGTTCATGCCCAACGGTAGTCTAGACAGGTTTCTATACAGCCAACCCAAGTATACACTCCACTGGAGCCAAAGATTCCATGTCATCAGAGGTGTTGCATCTGGATTACTCTACCTACATGAAGAATGGGAGCAAGTAGTGATCCACAGAGATGTAAAAGCCAGTAATGTACTTTTAGATGGTGAACTGAATGGACGATTAGGAGATTTCGGGCTGGCAAGGCTATACGACCACGGAACTCTCCCTCAAACCACCCATGTAGCTGGATCTCTTGGCTACCTTGCCCCTGAGTATAATAGGGCAGGGAGGGCCACAACGAGCACTGATGTGTATGCGTTTGGGGCCTTTTTGCTAGAGGTTGCCTGTGGAAGAAGACCTATAGAACCCCGAGCAGCACCAGCGGAGAACATCATTTTGGTTGATTGGGTATTTTCGTGCTGGAAAGCGGGCAATATTCTCCAGGCAGTTGATCATAATTTGGGTAATGAGTATGTGAAAGAGGAAGCAGAATTGGTGCTGAAACTCGGCTTGTTATGCTCTCACTCAGAACCAGTGATTAGGCCAAGTATGAGGCAAGTTCTTCTGTACTTGGAGGGATCAGTTACCTTGCCAGATTTATCATCACTGGTCATCGGTATTTCTGGTATTGGTCTTGACTTTGCCTATGGTGGCTATGAAGATATTAAATCGTTATCCTCGTCTTCCACAGGCAAATATTTCTCTCATTCCGTGGCAGAATCTCTTCTCTCTGGTGGTAGGTGATTAACAATATCTTTCTGTGCGTTAAGTTTGAAAAGAAGCGCAAAAAAAAAAAAAATAAAAAATGAAGAAGAGCTTCTATTCCTGTGATTATTTTCTTTAAGTCGCTTTGTTGAGTGTGATTTTATGTAATAGTGCATTCAAGCTTGCAATGGTTGGTACTAAGTGTCGGTATTTCTTTCCTTGTTTAATTTTCTGTATTCTTAACATGAGTTAAACAGTTATTTATAGGTTAATAATGAAATACTTGCACTTAACCAGTCGGAGAAGCATGCCATCCACTAAAAGGGTAGCGATATCATACCCACATACCCAAAAATAAGAGCGAAGGTAGCCATTATGTTAGAATAATGACAATTTTCTGTGAGCTCATTATGTTTCTATGGAGCTATGATAAGAATAATAGCCTTCACAATGAAATCACAGAAAAGAAGTTAATCATGACAAAAGCTTAAAAGCTATCCGTTTAATTTGCCTGGAACCAATATAAAAGAGGCACAGTACATTTAATATCTAATTATTGTTGTACTACTATGAAAAACACAACTCGGATTTGTTGCATTTGCACGTGGCCAATTACCGAACAAGTCTGGTATTTGGACGTTTCCCCTGTTAGAGAGCACCTCCCATTTTCCAGCATCTTACGGATCACAGGAAAGTGCTTGACAATTCATCGGCATGATGACTGAGAAAAGTCACTGGACTAGGAAAACTCCTGTATATTAAGTCGTATCAACTCATAATGGAGCTATGTAATCATCGGAATGATGGCAGCCGCTAAATTTAAAGTCATATGAATTAGCATAGTAATTGATGTATAAACCTCAATCTGAATCCAGGACGTACAAAGGCATTTCCTTGATTTGCTTTTGTTCATGAAGAGTTTAAAGAAGTTGTGTAAAGATTTAGAAGGTATACAGAATTAATTAGATCAAAATAATGCATTGATATTTTTTAAAAATTTTTTTTATTATAGATAGAATTTGAATCTTCAATTTAAATCAAAGAAGAATTTAGTCCCTTTTCTACCGCCAAAGCACAATAGTTTTTTTGTTCATCCTCTATTGAATGAGTTTTTTTTTTTTTTTATGTACTTGCAGTTATCAGTACGGACTACTGTAACTGTATAGGGCTTACACACACATAGCTTTCACCGCGACTTTTGGGACCTAGCCAACGAATCCAACATGTGGAAAGTCAAGGGCAGAGCAGTGAGAAACCGGGACTAAATTTAACATTTGAGAAACCATGCTTAATCAGGGGTTAATTACAACTAATGTATATCTTATTCTTCACTTTACGCCCTAACCTTTTATTTTTATCCTTGACTTCGATACAGGGACGGAGCCAGAAATTTATTTTTGGGGGGGGCGAAGTGTATTAAAATTTTTTTTTTGTGACGAAATAAATATATTTAATAAGTAAAATTTAGAATCAATAATTATAAAAATAATAAAAACATATAATTATACATACCCAAAAATTTGTTATTGATTAACACTTGAAGTATTGGTAGTTGTTGCACTCGAATAACGAAGAAGAGGCAATTGCATTCTGCGAGTCTTCATCCGTTGAAAACGCTGCAATATTTGCTCATTTTCAATTGTTGCAAAAATATCCTTCTCGATGTATACAACCAGACAGTCATTCATCCACTCGTCTCCCATTTTGTTGCGCAAATCAGTCTTGACAATATTCATTGCAGAAAATACTCTTTCAACAGAAGCAGTCGCAACTGGTAGAACTAATGCCAACTGGATCAGACGATAAACCAATGGAAGTTTGTAAAAGACCATCATGTATTTCCAATCATTTCAAGCTTCCAAAAGCTTGCATCAAAAAAGGGCAAGCGAATTACGCTTACACCACTGCTTATTCAAGAAGAGAACTATCAGTAAAAGCATGCAGTCCTAGTAGCAGTGGCGGAGAGAAAAAGACTGCAAGGCGTAGCTTCTTGTCTCTAGAAGAAGCGGGTTTAGTGGAAGTATCCGGCCTCAGCCCTCATGAGCGTTTTCTATGTCGGTTAACGGAATGCTTCTTCTCTTGGTACAATTACGCAAAAGTTAAAAAGCAAAAAAAAAAAAAAAAGGGGTGTCCATGCGATTCATTTAATCTGAGCTCTGAGTGTTTGAAGTTTTAGCAGTAATTTATTTAGTTTACAAATGAAATGGTGCAGGTATCGTCACTGAATCTGCTAAAAGTGATACAGAGCAGGAAGGGTGTGCGATTGAGGAGCTGAATGCGGGGAGAGTTTGTGATTGGTTTTTAAAAGACAAGCTGAAGAGGGAGCAGAATTTGGAGTCTGCGGTCCTGCAATGGGCTGGCCGCCAGAATCCCCTATATATAGGGGGTTTTCCGGCGGCTTGGGGGGGGCTTAAGCCCCCACCAGCCCCCCCTTAAATCCGTGGCTGCTTCTATAGGACAAAATTAACCTTTCATTATTCTAACTTTTTGTTTATCTTTTTTCCTTTCTTCTTTTTCCCCCCTCCTTTATTTACTTTTCTCTTTCTTCTCTTTTTTCTCTTGCTTCCTCAACAAAAAGTTCATCTCAACAAATAACTTTATTTAAAGAGTATAAACCTATCACTTACCTCATCCTTTTGATGACCATTTATAGTCATTTGTAAAACTAGAAACTTCTCCACCATTATACTGCCTATTTCCCTTCTCCCCAAACTCTACATTCACCTTAAATTCACATCCTTGTTAAAAGTCACATTCCAAAATCAACATTTTCGACATAATAATATCTTTTTACCATACCGTAAGAAGGGCTGCACCAATTTTGCTTAAAACCCCAATAGAAAACTTGAGTTTTTGAAAATTGGTGTAGAAAGACCAAACCTGTTAGCCCTTCATTTATTTGTAAAATTAAAAAAAAAAACACATTAGATGGTTAATTGTGCACTTAATTTGTGAATATTTTTCCCATTATTTTGCTAAAATACGGTATTAATTGCTAGATTCTACTTTTATTTGGCTTTTGTTGTTCTTTCTAGGAATTTGTGATAAAAAGGTAGCAAAAAGTGCATTAGATGAGAAATTTCCAGAATTCATTTTCCAAGGCGCGATCGCGTCTTATTTTACTATGAAGTCCGGAGTCCGCAGGACACGAGATGAATTTGTTGTTTGATAAGGAAGTTTGCTACGCCTTTTGGTTGTCCATATTAGTCACAGAATTGGAGATCCTAATTGGATACGATGTGATATAATTTATTTTGAAAACCAATTGATATATTTTGTTGGTTAGTTTATTTTAGGGAGGAGCCTAGAAAGAAAAAGTCATCTTTTCCTTATTAGTATTGGAAAAATGTAGGAACAAGGGGGACTCTTCTACTTCGTCTTTTTGTTCGACAATTCCTTTTCTTCTCTTTCTCTTAACAATAAACCCTAATATTTGTTGTGGTCATGATTCCACTGTGAGGAGTGGATAAACTCTCTTTCTAGTTAGAGGATAATCAAAACTTTGGTTCAACAATATTGTGAGATCTAATTTTGTTTTATTGTTTCATTTATTTATAAGTACTTATATATTCTCTTTTCATTATCGAAATGATTGTTTTGATTGAATTGAGTAAAGGATCCCTATTTGGTTTGAAAAAATAATCTACTACGATTTAAATATCAAATTCGTAATTATTTGATGATTTTAGTTTTGTAACGAGTGATATAATTTGATTGTATTAGAAACTCTTGAATTTATGGCACAGAACTTGTTTAGAGTTCGTTAATTGGCAAAAGAAATAGTCACGGAACTTGTTGTGATTATCGAAGCAGTAAGGAGAAACAAATTGTCAGAGTTTGTTGACAATCATAACCAGTCTATTTATAAATAAATGATTTTTGTTTTTGCATCAATGATCAATTCAATGAACCAAAGTGGAAATTAGACCTTTAACTAGTGATTTGTCTTTTATTAATTTAGCTTTATTTAATTTTGTATTTTTGTCTTTATTTAATTTGATTAGTTGGATTAATTTCCTACCAATCCCCCATTTTATTTATTGGTTTTCTAAGAAAATAAATCATCTAGTCCCTGTGAATACTACCTTACTCACTGTTATATTTGAATTTCATTTCTAGGGTAGGAATTTTATTTTTACTGGTTTGACACCCAACAAATTTTAACACTGTTGCCAGGGACTGGTGCATTATTGATTTATTTTCTTTCGATTTTAAATTTTTGTATTTCCCTTATTTTGTTGCTAGTTTATGGCTTTCAATACTTAACAACTTGGTGATATATAGGATTTCATTTCTAGGAGAGTTAATAAGGTAGGTGTCTTTTCTATTGATCAATGTTTACATTTTCTAACATCTTTTATGGAAAAGTTGGTTGTAGGCCAAATGCAATAATTTAAAACCATTGAAATATGTTATGACTCGGGTTATCCAACTAACATGTGTCCTACACTACAAGATGACTTGGATTTCGAAGTTTATACTGTTGGAGAATTCCCAATCTCTTTCCAAAGGGTGTATGATCCTTATTCAAACATGTGCACTCAAGTATGAAGGGTCAACCCCAACTATAGTTACACAGCAAGGCCACCAATTCCATTGCAACAACTATCATCCACACCTGTTATATTTCTTGAAGAAATTATTAAATCACCAACTACTAACATACAATAATTTCAACGAGAGACAAGAACGAGCATTCGAAACTTGGAAGATCAAATGAGTTGAATGGCATCTAGAGTGAACTGATTGGAGTCTCAAATTTTTGAAGAATTGCACTCATAAACTATTGTCAATCCCAAACAAAAAATGAGTGCAATTACCTTGAAAAGTAATAAAGGACTGTAAGAGTTTCAAAATGTAGTATTTAAGCATGCGGTTGAAGAGGAAGTTGAGAAAGAAGGAATAAGACTCCAACGTCAAACCTTTCCAATGAAAGAATATAGTGAACAACCCCTAATTGTGGTGATTACTCTTTCATTCTATAGCTGATTTGCAAGATCCAAGGAAGAGGAGGAAGAGCGAGAAATTTTGGGAATGCTTCACAAAATTGAGAAGCTAAATGGCAATGAAAAAATCTGTATGAGAGAAAATGCTTCATTTGTACTACGACAGAATTTACCTCCTAAGTGCGAGGATCTAGAAGTTTTTCAACTTAATGGCTGGAAAAGTTAGGAATTATAGTGACCAAACATCTTGAACCAG